TTAACGAAATTCTAGACAGATATGATCTTAGGCACTCTTTTGCGTTAAAAGAAACCATATTCCATACAACTCGGTCCAAAATCATAAGAAGAAATAACAAGTTGACTAAAAAAGAAGAAAAAAAGACTAATTAATAAAAATAGGCACAAAACGAAAGTATTCCCAAGCGATTAACTCTACTTTGATATGGATCGAATCAACTGATGAGAATCATGTGCTTCTACCGATGGAGGAACTTGTCTCTAATGGCATATAATTTTGCAGCAACTTCTTTCATCTCCATTCTTTCACTTGGTGACTCCATTGAGCAGACAACTCCAACCTCAGCAACCGCCAAGAGGCTCTCCAGAACACCAACTCCCTTTCCCATATTCCTTGCCTTTGAATTTTCTGCTTCTTGAACCTCCTGAAGTAATGAAGGATCTATAATATCAGTTACCCTTTCAAGAAGTCTTGTCTTGACCAATTGGTGAATGGTGAAGTTGTCTTTGAACATTGAATCAGTTGGTGCTTTCCCTGTAATCATCTCCAGTAAGAGAATTCCAAAACTATAGACATCACCAAGCTTGGATATCTTGGTGCTCATGCCATATTCTGAAATAGAAAATAAAAGGTCAGTAAATATTGTTGATTTATCATGTTAGTGAGCACAAAGATAGATCAAATCCCAACGGAATGATAAAAAAAGTAGAGAGATTGAAGAAAGTTACAGAAAATTAAAACGATTACCTGGGGCTACATAGCCAAGTGTTCCTTTCACACCCATGGAGCTGCTTTGGTTTTGAGAAATTGATAAAAATCTTGCCAGGCCAAAATCACCAACATGAGAAACCATTTCCTCATCAAGTAGAACATTGCTTGGCTTAAGGTCTCCATGAACAATTGATGGTTGGCAATAGTTATGAAGGTATTCAATTGCAGAAGCGACCTCAATGAGTATATTGAGTCTTTGAATGAGGCTTAAACTTTGTGCACCAGTTTGATCTTCATTTGGATGTAGCCACTCCTCTAAGCTTCCATTTTGCATGAACTCATAAACCAAAGCCTTGAAATCGGTTCCTCTAAAGTCTATACTTGAGCAAACAGTTACAATCTTGATCAAATTTCGATGTCGAATATTTCTTAATGTTTCACGCTCAGCCATGAAACTCTTAGTAGCTCCTCTCCTCTTAAGGTTTAAAACCTTCACCGCCACTAGCATTCCATCTCGACTCAGAATTCCTTTATAAACAGAACCAAAACTTCCCTCACCAATCAAGTTGGATGATGAGAAGTCATTGGTTGCCTGACTTAGCTCTGCATAAGAAATCTTTGAATATTGTTCTGGGTCTTGCACATCGGTAGAAGTTGAAGCTTTCCTTTTCGATCTTCTGTATGCAAAGATAACAAGAAGCGATACCATCAAGAATATTGAGCATGAAGCAATTATTGAGATCAACAAGATCAAACGATGAAGCTTTCTGTCTCCAATCTTGCATGTAGGAAGTGCTAGCTGATGCATGCCTCCACAGAGTCTTGGGTTTCCATAAATAGAAATTATGCTTGTATTTTCGAAGATCCTTCCAGTTGGCAACACTCCTTCAAAATTATTGAATGATAAGTTTAGGTATTGCAACAAAGGAAAATTTTCGAAGTATTCTGGAATTTTGCCAGACAACTTGTTATTGGAGAGGTCCAACGATACAAGGCTTCTCAATTTGTTAAATGATGGTGGGATGCCTCCTTCAAACAAGTTACCATCCAGCCAGAGTCCCTCTAACATCAAGCAATCACCTAAGGCACTTGGAATTCCTCCTGACAATTGGTTGTGTTGAACACTCAAATGCACAAGGTTGGTCATTTTACCCTCAGCTAAATCTATGGGCAGTTGTCCTGTAACTGAATTCTGTGGCAAGTAGAGGTCTATGAGATGAGATAAGCTAAAAAGTTGTTTCGGTATGTTACCAAATAAGGAATTGTTCTCAAGGTAAAGATATTCAAGTTGTGTACAATTTCCCAAACTAGGAGGAATCAGGCCATTCAAATTGTTCTCTTCTAGGTTAAGATATTGAAGTTGGGTGAGGTTTCCAAGGAAGGATGGAATTGGCCCTGAAATTCTATTATCCTGCAGCTCAATATCAGATAGCTTTTCTAGTTTGCATATAGAAGAAGGAATTTCACCTGTAATAGTGGCACGGGCTATAACCAAATATTCTAAGCCAACCAGATTCCCAATCTCTTTGGGGATTTTACCTGAAATTCGTCGGTTGCCTATGGCGAACATTTCAAGCCTAGTTGAAAGATTGGCAATTGAAAGGGGTAATTCACCTTCGAAATTGTTGCCGTCAAGTCTCAATTGGCGAAGGTTGGTGCAATTAGTTAAAGAAGTTATGAAACCTAAACCTTCTCCTTCTGCACTTTCCAACTGATTTCTCATGAGAAATAGAGTTTGAAGATTCCTTAGGCTTCCAAGGTTTGAAGGTACCACGCCACTAAAATTGTTATACCCAAAGTCAAGAACTTCTAATTTGGTAGCATTTAGAAAAGAAGCTGGCATCTCTCCATAAAAATGGTTTAAAGGGACATAGAAACCCCGAAGATTAGGAAGAGTGAAGCCAACATTAGATGGAATTCTACCATGCAACTGGTTCTCTGCGAAAGAAAGTAGATGTAGTGATGATAAATTGTAAATAGAAAGTGGTACCTCCCCAGATAAATTGTTTCCTGAAAGTTGTAGGAATTGCAAGTTTAGAAGTTTTCCAAGCTCTGCTGGTATACTTCCCTGTAAATTATTTTCTCTCAGGGATAATTCTAAGAGTGAAGATGCATTGCCCAACATTGGTGGTAGACTTCCTGTTAATTCATTTGAAAGGAGTTCGAGAACCTGTAGGCTTTTTGTTATATTTTCAAGCTCCATTGGGATTTTACCTGTAAGGTATTATTGTAGCTAAGTTCAATATATATCTTGGAAATTTGAAGAGAATGACATATAAATTGATTCAAATTTTACCATGAAAATTGTTGAAACCGAGAATAAGATATCTTAGTCGGGACAAACGACCAATTTGTTGAGGAATCTCGCCTTTGAAACTGTTGTAACTGAGGTTGATTTGCCTTAAGAAGGATAAATTTCCAATGTGAGGAGGTATTGAACCAGCCAGCTTTTGGCCTCCTAAATTCAAGACGGCAACTCTACCTTGGTGCTTCTTACTGCATAAAACTCCTGTCCAATTGCAGAAATGAGAAGACTCATTCCAAGAGGTCAGGATTCCTAATGGATCTTCAACAATTCGATCCTTGAAGGCCAACAATGCAAGTCTGTCATTTTCATTAGTTGGATTCAAGGCAGCCGTGGGAAGAGATTGGAAGGCAAATAATAGGTGATTCATGTAGATGAGAGCATTGAGAATGGATAACAAACGCAGATCTAACTTCATTTTTTTTTTTTCTTTTTGGAATACTAGAGAGAAGAAACAGGTTTTTGTGTGCGAACAAAATCAAAGTTACATCTCCTTTTTATAATGCGAAATATTCCGAGAACGGAACTCCGA